GCCTGTAGTTCCAGCTACTTGGAAGGCTGAGGTGGGAGGATCGCTGGAGCCCAGCAGGTCGAGGCTGCGGTGGCCGGGAGCGGCCACTGCACTCCAGTCTGGGTGACAGAGTGAGACTCCAACTCAAAAAAAAAAAAAAAAAAAAAAAGACTACACTTGGTAATTTTGTTCTTAGCATTTTAAGTAATAATGTGAATGCTTTCCCACTGAAATTGTCTCCCTTATTTCTGAATAAAATGAAATTGTATTCACTCGTGAGAAAATAAAATGTCAAAACTCTTTATTCTACAAATATTTTGTAAACAAATAATTAATCTCTTAATTTATAGCATTTGGCTAGGTGCAGTGCCTTATGCCTATAAGTCGAATAGTTTGGGAGGCCAAGGCAAGAGGACTGCCTGAACCCAGGAGTTCAAGACCAGCCTAAGCAACATGGCAAGTACCTTATTTCTATGATAAATAAAAAAATTAGCCAGTCATGGTGGTTCACCTGTACTCCCAGCTACCTGGCAGGCTGAGACGGAAGGATCACCTAGGCCTAGGAGGTTGAGGATGTGGTAGCTGTTCTCTCCTTCACCCTACCAAATACACATACACACAAGGCAGAGGGAAGACTTCATAAACTTGGCTAGCAAGAACTTTATCTGAGGACAGTAAAGAAAAGATGGTCAGGTATGGGAATAGGAGATAACTGGGGCTTGGATTTCCTCTTCTAGTGCTCATCCATGTTTACCAGGCCCAGAAGAATAGAACAGTTTGATTAAAAAACAAAACTAGGCTGAGCGCGGTGGCTCAGCCTGTAATTTCAGCATTTTGGAAGACTGAGGTGAGAAGATTGCCTGAGCCCGGGGTTCGAGACCAGCCTAGGCAACTTGGTGGTCAAGCAGTTCTAGCTACTTGGAAGGCTGAGGCAGAAGGATTGCCTAAGCCCAGCAGGTTGAGGTTGCTGTGGCTGTGAGTGGGCCACTGCACTCCAGCCTGGACAACAGAGTAAGACTTCAACAAAAAATATAAAAATACATAAAAAATAGAACAAACAAACAAAAACAATGGAGCCAGGCACAGTAGCTAGTGCCCACAGTCCCAGCTACTCAGGAGGCTAAGGTGGGAGGATCGCTTGAGCCTAGGAGTTCAAGGTTACAGTGAGCTATGGCTGCACCAATGCACTCCAGTCTGGGCAGCAGGACAAGACGAGACCCTGTCTCTAAAAACAAAACAACACTGTTCAAAATAAAACAAGGAAACCACAACATCCAGTAAGACCACAGAAACTATTTTTCTCCTGGCATTAAAAAGAGGCAGCAAAACTGCTGGCTACGTCCCAAGGGAACTTAGACACCTATTCGAGAAGTGACTGAATTTTAAAGTTACTCCCTGTCTATCTAACCACCTTCAACTGGAGACCTCAAAAACACTGCAAATATCAATAAAGCCTCACTAGTCAGGAAAGGACTAGACCTAATTCAGATAAGAAAAATAAAGTAGGTAACAACAAGAATCAGAAAAGAAACTAGATTCTAACATCCTTGGCTATCTCAATGTTGTCCTTAGGCACCCAAACAATAGCATCCCCAATAACAGGACTATGCTGACAAGGCAATGTTTTTTAAAACAGAGGCTGAGTGGAAAGAATATTGGCCTTGGTTTGATTTAAGACAAGTGTTCCAAGCCTGGTTCCACCAGTTATATGACCCTGAACAAGTCATTCAATGTCTTTAAACTTCAATTTCCCCATCTATAAAACTGTATTAAATCTAACTCACAATGTTGTGAGGATCAAATTTTAAAAAAAATTTTTTTTGAGTTGGAGTCTCACTCCGTCACCCAGGCTGGAGTGCAGTGGCATGCTCACGGCCACTGCAGCCTGGGCCTGCGGGGCTCAGGTGATTCTGCTTTAGTCTTCCAAGTAGCGGAAACTATAGGTATGCACCACCACGCCCGGCTAATCTTTTATTGTAGAGATGAGGTCTTGCCAAGTTGCCCAGGTTGGTCTTGAACCCATGGGCTCAGGCAATCCTCTCATCTCGGCCTCCCAAAGTGCTGGAATTATAGGTGTGAGCCACAGAGCCTGGTCTGAAATTAAACTATGTATGCCTGGCACACAGGTACTCAGATGACAGCTTGCTTTTTCCCCCTAAATCCTTAAGTCCACAGACAATAAACAGAAAAAAAAGTATATGATTATTAGACTTCTTTGAACTAATTTTTAAAATATAACAAACAAAAACAATGGAGCCAGGCACAGTAGCTAGTGCCCACAGTCCCAGCTACTCAGGAGGCTAAGGTGGGAGGATCGCTTGAGCCTAGGAGTTCAAGGTTACCAAGTCGGGCTCGGTGGCTCAGCCCGTAATCCCGTGCCTTTGGGAGGCTGAGATGAGTGGACTGCCTGAGCCTGCAGGTTCGAGACCCGCCTGGGCAACTTGGCGAGACCTCATCTCTACAATAAATCAAAAATTAGCCGGGCGTGGTAGCGCTCACCTGTAGTTCCAGCTACTTGGAAGGCTGAGGCGGAAGGATCGCCGGAGCCCAGCAGGTCGAGGCTGTGGTGGCCGGGAGCGGCCACTGCACTCCAGTCTGGGCAACAGAGTGAGACTCCAACTCAAAAAATAAAATAAAATAAAATATAAACTCCAGAGGATACTATCCTAATAGTTGGCTAAAATTTAAAATGGCCTAATTCTTTAATAACTCCCAAATATTTTAGAGTTATCACCAAGCTTGCAAATTATTTTGTCCATTTTTATTGACGAGAGCAAAGACAGAGATCGACTTCAGAGAACTAAAAAACAAAAGAGGAGCTTTTCCAGAAAGATGATCAGTGATGCCGTATTTTTTAGTTAAAATTCAACGAAACTCACATCTCAAAAAGGAGTTAATGTACTATTCCAAAATTAACTATGTAGTGTTCTCTTAATACTCCTTTGGTTCAGAAAATAGATCAACAGTACCTATAAAACTTTAAACTATGCCGGGCTCGGTGGCTCAGCCTGTAAATCCCGCGCCTTTGGGAGGCTGAGGTGAGTGGATTGCCTGAGCCCGCGGGTTCGAGACCCACCTGGGCAGTGAGACCTCATCTCTACAATAAATCAAAAAAAATCAGCCGGGCGTGGTAGCACATGCTTGTAATTCCGACTACTCGGAAGGCTGAGGCAGAAGGATTGCCGGAGCCCAGCAGGCAAGGCTGCAGTGGCCGGGAGCGGCCACTGCACTCTAGTCTGGGCGACCAGGTGAGACTCCAACTCAAAAAAAAAACAAAACCAACTTTAAACTATTTAAATTAACCTCATAGGGCCAATACGACCACCAGACATAAGCAGAGCCTTCCCAGAACCTAAAAGTTCTTTCCTGATACTTATTAACTGAAACTGAAAGTGAGCTACCGTAAACACAATACCTTTGACCACAACACTTCACAGTAATTTAGAAACCCTATTCCAGTGAGGTTAAACAACATGCCCATTTCTTTTTTTTTTTTTTTTAATTGGAGTCTCACTCTGTCGCCCAGACTGGAGTGCAGTGGCCGCTTCCGGCCACCACAGCCTCGACCTGCTGGGCTCCGGTGATCCTTCCGCCTCAGCCTTCCAAGTAGCCGGAATTACAGGCATGCACTACCATGCCCGGCTGATTTTTTGATTTATTGTAAAGATGAGGTCTCGCTGCCCAGGCGGGTCTCAAACCGGCGGGCTCAGGCAATCCACTCACCTCAGCCTCCCAAAGGCGCGGGATTACAGGTTGAGCCACCGAGCCCGGCTAACATGCCCATTTCTAAACAAGTTTGCCAGAATAAAAAAAACATTAACTCTTCTTATTCTCCTAGACACTCTAATGAAACTCCTTTAGAAAGGAGATAACCAGCAGCATCATGAAAATCTCAAAACAGCCTTGATATATAGGCTACAATTAAAAGTCCTAACTTCTTTGAAGCAGAGGATCACATAACTTTTTACTAGCACTACATTTACACAGTGCAAGGAGTCCCTAGCATCTGTGTCCCCAAAACATGACACACAAGAATACAATTATCTGCCCAAGGTCACAGAGCAGGTAATGGCAGTCTGACTCTCAACCATTTAAATGAGCCCCTCTTTGCTGCGTGCAACCATTCAGGGGATGTACTGACAGTAACACACACTCGGACTTTTACTGGGGGAGGGTGTGGAGGGTCTCCAACGAATACTTCAGAGAGGAAAATCTCTGCAGATATTATAATTCACTGGCCTTTAAAATTCAGCATACAAGGTGCATTAAAAAGACTGTCACCAGGAACTCAAGATCAAAGGGGTTGGGAAACACATTTTCTCCTACCATACCAACCTCTGGGCATTCTTCTGCTCAATGCCCCACTGATTCTCTGGACAAAGGATCTGTCCACCCCTCGCCCTGCCCAAGGCAGCAGGGAAAGAACGACAGGGAGTCTCCCAATATCTTGACACAGAATGCACGGTGCCCAGGATCCCCTCGAGCTCAGCCAGCGAGCTGTCCTTCCCTCCTAGTGCCATTCGCCTGTCACCTCCATCTCAACTTTCAGCAGTGGTTGTCGGGAAGAACATGCCGCCTTCTGCAATGCTGCTAAGTCTGCCCTAGCCAGACGGACACACCCCTTCGAAGCGCTGCCCCGTCAGAACAGTATCATTTCATTCCCTCCTTTGCCAAATCTCCCCCCCCACTCCCACTGAGACCCTCCCCACCCCGGTCAGAGGGCCATTTCACCCGACAAATAACTTGCCTCTCCCGGCCTCCTGACTTGACGGGCAGCTCCCTTCCCCTCACCGACCGCTCGGGCAGGGGTGGGGTTTCGGGTGCCTTCACCCCGCTCGTCTGGGCTTGCCGGACGGTTGGCGACCAGTTACCACCCGCCGCCGCGCTCTCCCTCCCGCGGGCATCCCTCACCACCTCCTTCCTCGGGACACACCCGCAGCGTCGAGGGCCGCCGCCCGCACCCGGCCCCTCGCGGGGTGGCCGCAGCCCGCCGCCCCCGGCGGCCACGCCCCCGCGCTCACCCGCAGTCCGGGGCCGGGCACCAGCGGCAGTCGGGGTCCGAGGCCAGGTAGCGGCGCAGCATGAACTCCTCGTACTTGTGCATGAGCGGCGGGTCGGCGAGCAGCAGGCGGATGTCGTGCGGGGTGAGCCGCTCGCTGCACTCGGGGCAGCTGATGGGCACCCGGCT